CCCGGGATCACGGCTCCATCCCCCCGGGATCACGGCTCCATCCCCCCGGGATCAAGGCTCCATCCCATCCCATCCCGCCTGACTTGGGTTTTCCCATGGGATTATTACATGGAGCATCACCTCACTCCTTCCAAGGCTGGAGGCAGGGATAAACCCGAGTTTAAATTTAGTCAAGGATTAATTCCCATCCCTCCAGATTATTATTTGGAGCTGGCATCTTAACGATCTGACTAACGATGCTGGGAATTAATTTATTTTTGGGCTAATTAGAGGGCATTTGTTAACACCCTCTTCGGTGGCGGCAAAAATTATTTGGGAATCAAGTTATTTGACAGTGCGTGGGATATTAAATGCGACTGGGTATTGCCTGGATCCACTGAATTATCCCTCCAACACCCCAAAAAAGCAGCTGGAGTAAAATCAGACTGGGCAATAATTGGGGACGGGACGCTGAGATCCATCGGGGGATACCCGCAACCTAAATTAAAGAGGATACTGATACTCGGTCAGGCTTTCCCACCATGGCTGGGGAGGTCAAATCTCCCTTAATTTAATCCTAACTGTGGCAAAAGTTTCCTCCCAACTTTAGGAAGCGCAGCTCCTTGCTCCTTGCATCCTGCCCATCAGCTTCTCAGCCACTCCATCCCACATCTCCCACTCCTTTTCCTGGTTATTTCAGGCCAGAGCAGCTCCCAGGAAAATCAATGATGTAAAACTGGGGTGTCCCAGCATCCTGGGTTAATTTTCTCCATGTCTTCCAGGAAATATCCCGGGAAGCCAGAACACATCCCAAACCCAGTCAGGATGAGGGTGGTACCCAGAGGTGCAATCCAACCCCTGCATCTCTGGAGATGGGGGTGGATGGGTGAAGGATGCTTTTCCCAGCAGGGCCAGGCCAATATTAAAGTTTTCTGGGAGGATAAAAAAAAAAAGCCTTATTATTACTCAGAGACTTATGGATGCTGTTGATCAACTTGGAAAAAAGACATGAAGTAATTCAGGAGTTCACCAGGAAAAGCCAAAATTATCTGAAATCCAAAGCTGCCCTGGTGAGGAACTCATTTTATCCCTGAGTTAGGAAAAATAGTTATTCCTGATGTGCCAGTGGGATAAAACCATCTTCTCCCAACACAACTTTATGCATTGAATCCAAAAAAGGAGATTTCCTTAAAAAAAATCCTTAAGAAAAATATGAGATTTCCTTAAAATATAGGTGATTTCCTTTAAAAAAAAAAACACTATTAGCTAAAGAAGAGATTTCCCTTAAAAAGGGGTGATTTCTCTAAAAAAAAAGAAAAAGGTGATTTTCCTAAAGAAAAGGAGATTTCCTTAAGAAATGAGATTTCCTTTAATTCCCCCTCCCCAAAATGATGGAGGGAGAACGGAACATGTTTCTGCAGGCCCAGTGGGGAAGCTCAGCATCACTCTTCTCCCTGTTTTTTCCTTCACCCCATGATATCAGGGGGTGTTTAATCTTACTTATATATACATATATGTTATTATGTAGATCTCAAGTTAAAAGGAAGGGGGTTACAGGACCCCTCAGTGCTGGTTTTGGGGGGCCAGGGTTGCAAAGTACCTTAAAAAGCCCAATTTTGGGATGCTGAGGAAGGCGGCTTCCCTTTCCCTTCCTGACACCGCCAGCTCCCTTATTAACCTCTCCCGTAATTAGCCTCAAGCAATTAACTTTTGCCCCTAACGAAGGGATCTCAGCACAGGGAGTTAAATAAAATAGAAGGTGGTGCTGGGGGGAAAATAAGGGGGAATCCTGATCCCCTCATCCTTCTGTTCCAAACAGCTTAAACCCAAAACACGGTGATATGTTTTTCCCCAAAATCACCCAAAATCCAATGAACTCACCCAAATCCCCCTCCCCGCACACGTGAGGCCAGAAACAGGCCTCTAAATATCAGACCCCAAAGGTTCTGGGGAGAGACAAACCAATTTCTTGCAACGGGATGATGCCAAACGCACCGAGTCAGCACTTTTGGAGGCGCAACTCCCGAAAGTTTTGCCAGAGCCGGGTCCGCCGAGCCACGCGCTGCTTCTCCCCCCTCCAACCCCCAAAATCTTCAAGGATTTAAAGGTAAAATAAGTAAAAAAAAAAAAAAAAAAAGCCAAATTAAGCCATTTCCTCTCCTATTTTCTGCTTCTTCCCAGCAGACAGCTGCCCTGCATCTCAGCCAAAAATAATCCATCCCCCTCCTTTCCTCAAATCTAATCTCCCCGGCTGGGAGTTTGAAAATATCCTGCCGGGTTTAGGGTTTCCCGTTACCCGGCGGGCACCGAGATAGTGGGAAAAAAGATCCTTGGGAGTGAGAAAAACCGGGAAGAGCACAAACAAAGAGCTCTGGAGTCCAAGTAGAGCTTCGTTGCCCCGCAAGGATCGGGATGAAGTGGGGGGGGACACCTCAATCCCTCAGCAAAACTTCCCCAAGTTGCAGGATGCTGCCAGCGGAGCCACCCTCCTGCAGATGGAAATGCACTAAAAAAATTCAAGGATAAATTAAAAATAATAATAACAATCATCATTATTATTAATAAAAAGCCCTCACTGCACCGCTGCAGAGCCATCAAAAAGTATGAAGTATCCATCCAACCCTGCGGGATGGGAGGGACAAGTCAGGGGGTCCCGTGAAGCGTCCCGGGGAAAACTGGGGGAACTGAGGTGCACCGGGAGAAGGTGGCACAGCGGGGGAACGGGGGTGCACGGGGGGGGTTATCCCGGGAGAGGTGCTGGGCTGCGGCATGTCGGCTAGGTCCGTGCTCCGGCGCTGGCATCGAGCCCACGTGGGGCCCTGAGAGGCGGCACGGTGCCCCCCGCCCCCGGTGGGTGCCCTGAGGGGGCACCCCGAGTTAACTGGGTGCTGTGCAAAGCTGTGAGGCTGCGGATAAAGTGCCCCCCTCCACGCCCCCCCCCCACCCCGGTTGTACGGGGGGCAACTTCCCAGCTGCCAAATGCGATGAGCTGGGGGGGCTGCAAAACCCCCGGGAGTCTGGGACCAGTCACTGCAACCACTGCGAGGGAGCTGAAGCCAGCGAGGGCTGCAACCCCCCCGGGGGGGGCACTACAACCGGCTGGAGGGGCTGGAACCAGCCCCGGGGTGGGGAACAATCCAAACGCTCGGGGGTCTGCAGCCAGTCCGAGGGCACTGCACCTACCTCAGGGGGCTGCAGCCCCCCAGAGGGGCAGTGGTACCGGCCGGGGTGGGGGGCAGTCGATTGCAACGCTCCTAAAAGCACCGCGACCCCCGGTGCGGGGTCGGCAACCGGGCAGCGGGGGCTGCAACTTGTTGGGGGTGGGGGCTGCAGCCCTTGGGAGCTCTGTAACCGAGCAGGGGGGCTGCATCACTGGAAACCCCCGGCATCGCTGCAACCGCTCGGCGGACGGGGAGGACGGGAGCGCACGGCCCCCTGCACCGCTGCACCCCCCCAAAATCAGCGCGGGAGGCGCGGGGGGGTCACGGCGGAGAACCGCAGCGGCGCGGCCGGAGCTCAGCCCGGAGGGGCAACCGGACACCGGCGACGCCACCTCCAGCGTGGAGGTGGCGGGAACGGCAAGTTACTTCCCGCACCGGAGGGGACGGGGGGATTATCTGCGGGGGGGAAGAGGGGGTGTCCCCGCCGCCGCCGCCGCACGTGCCCCGCCGCCCCGCGCCGCTTTGTCCACCGGGCTCCGCGGCTCCGCCCGCCCGGCCCCCCGCGCGCGGCGGGGGCCCCCCCGCTTCCCCTCCGCTTCCCCCGTGACCGTGAGTGAGTGACAGCCCTACCTGCCCGCCAATCTTCATCACACCGACACCGGCCCTGACAGCGCGGCCGCCGCTTCGCCGCCCGCCCGGCCCCGCCACCGCCGCCGCGCACGCCCCGCCCCGCCCCCGCCGGGCCCCGCCCCCCGCGCCGGGCCACGCCCCCCGCGCCGAAACCACACCGGCCGCGTCGAAACCACGCCCACTACGCCAAAGCCACGCCTATTACATCAAAGCCACGCCTATGATATCGAAGCCACGCCCCAGACACGCCTCGATTGGTGTGGTCACGCCCCCGGCCACGCCCCCTCGCCCGTCCCGCTCAGCGCCCCCTGCTGGCCTCTCTGCGCCGCCCCCCAGTGCTGCCTCCCCCGACCCGGGAACCCCCAAACCGACCCTCACACCTCCTCCAGCGACCTTCGGACCCCCCGCCCCGGCGTCCCCAGGATACTGCTCGGGCCTTCCCCCGGCAGCATCTGCGCCCCCCAAAAGAGTATCCCCCCCCCCGAACTCATTTGCCCATCCAGCAGCATCTCACTGCTCCCCCTCCCCTTATTTCCCTCTGCAAAGCTTTTGCCCCCCCAGACGCGTTCAGAGCCAACTT